ACAGTTCGTTCGCATTTACAGACAAAAAAACTAGCGTTATCTTCGGCTTCCAAGCATGTCCAAGAGCTATCGTCTTTTTGATTTTTGTTGATATCTTCGGATTTAATTAACATTCTATCTTATTTTTACCATGCTTTATATTTTAATTTTATGTCAAATATGAACATTCGAAAAAGAGATTCCTTGGCAAAGAGGTTTTTGTTTCTTATGTGTTAGTAATCAGGACCGTGTAAGAGAGATGACAAGTGGTTCTATCGCATATGACCCACGTGAAATTTTTTAAAATTATTTTTAAAAAAGGGCCAAAATTATATAAGTTTAATATAAGCAGTTTGTGAAAAACAAATTAAGTCTTTAGAAAGAATAAAGATTTTCATATTCACAAAAACGAATTAAAACATATTTTACCAGATGTATCCGACCACACCTGATGAAACATCTTCATTGTTTATATTCCAGAATCAATCCGCAAACCTAAGCCACAATCCATATACATAATAATATGTCATCAAAACTATAATTCTTTTACGATTTTCCGTCTCATTCAACTTTAACCATTACATTCTCTTCATTTCTTACCGACAAAAAAATAAAAAAAATCTCTTCATTTAAAAATATACTATGATGTTTTGGACAAAAAAAAAAAAACTCTTTTCAAAAAAATGACGTGTTTACATTTCTATGCAGAATTCTCGTTTAATATCAAATTTAATTTCAATAATAGTGGTTGGTACTCTTTGTATTAGAGAAAGACAAAATTGCTTTTAATACTAAATCAGATCTTTATAATCTGAATGAATACTATACTGCAATATGGACAGTATGTTAAATCTATATTTGACTTGAGTATATTAAATAAATAATTAAAATTAAGAAAAACTATTAAAATACTAGATAAGATACTCTAAGAGGTTTTTAACCGTTAATGATGCTCTAAGAGGCTTGGGTTTCTTCTAATTTTATGATTTCATATGGTCGGTTGACCATCCACGATATACAATTGATGATTCATAATACACGATCGATGACCTGGCCACAATCTACAATACACAATGATTTATGATACACAAAATCATGTATTCCACGATATATGTGTCATGATTTAACCATTTTCTTGCTTTTTTTAGAAAAAGAACATTTTATTGTTTTACAATATATTAAATCAAATATGGCACATCTTCGACATCATATCGTTACATTTACTA